TAAATATTGAGGTAAGGCGCCCATAAAACTAAGGCACAAAGGTTACGAACGAAAAATAGACACTTGTTTGTTCATAATACAACCTAAGCAAAGATAGTCAAATAAAACACAAGGCGCCTCGGTGGGCGCAGCAAAAGGATTAAACGCATGAAAATCCAACATGAAGTAGATGATTAGTTTTCTTCGTCCCCATCCTCGTCATCACTAGACTCCGAGCTCGACCCAGAAGCATCTTCATTCTCTTGATCAACGGGGGGCGCAGGAGTGGCATCGACGATGGGGCGCCCACTAGCCATGAAGTCGATAACGAAGTTAGCCATCTCCTTGACATCCCAATTGATGTTGGGATGGTCAGCCTCCAGCTTCCTCTTCAGAATGAGGATGCTGTTCAGGGATGCCTGCGCCTTCACAGCCAAATCTGACCCAGGCGCTTGGGAGGCAGGCTTCTCGCTCTTAAGCGCCTCTATTTCCTCCTGGCGCCTCTTGCCTTCTCGGATCAGTTGCTTATTCTCCTTTTGCAAGGCCTTCTTCTCGTCAAGGAGGAGATCGATTTCACTCCTCTGAGCGCCGTTTTCCTTGTCCAGATCAGCCTTCTCCTTCACCAACCTGGCCACTTCTTCGTGATGCGCCCTCTTGAGAATCTCAAGTTGGGCCTCATGCGCCACCTTCAGCTTCTCCTTTTCTTCATCCACCCTTGTCTGTAAGAGGGACGCAGCCTTAGCAGCCTCAAGATGGGCGTTCTCACATTCCTCCGCCAACTCTGTTTGGCGCCTCCGCGCCGTATCCAAGTCATCCTGTGCAACGGTGAGCGCCTTGTTGGCTTCCACTTCGCCTAAGCGCAGCGCCTCTTGCGCCATGGCGCCATTTTTGGCCAAGTGGAGCATCTGCACCGAAGTCAAAATAACAAGTCAAAAATCATTGATATGGGCGCATAGCATGGCATCATGATAAAAGTTGGAGAATATAGTTAAGTGAAGTTGGAAAGCGCTTGTTGTACCTCAGCCGCTATGCGCGCCACTTCTCCCCAGAGATTCTTCCCCTCAACACTCGAGGGCGCTCGGAGTACTTCGGAGGCGCGGAACGCGAAACCAAGCGCCGAGCCTCGCTCCAACGCAGACCTATCCGAGCATTCCACCACGACCCTGTGCTTCGGGGGTTGCAACCACTTCTGCACAAAGGGGTGGACAGGCGCCTCCTCTGCTATGCGCTGCTTTTTGACATGAGTCGATGCGCCACCCTCTGACTTCCTTTTAAGCTTGCTCGACAGGGGGACTTCATCAATGTCCAGCTCCGGATCGGACTGCACATTCAGAGGCGCCTCCTCCTCAGGTTGCGCATCAGCAGGCGCATTCCCTTCCGAAGCCTTCGCCACTTTCTGTGGCTTAATCCTTCGCGGACTCGAGCGCCCCTTCCCGCTGCCGGCCGGAGCACCAGGCGCATGGGTTTTGCTTCCGGTCCGTGCTTGTGTTGGGGCGGTTCTCTTACTTCCTTTCTTCGAGGCGCCTTTCTTCTTGGAGGCGCCCTGTCCTGGGAATACAGGCGCTTGATAGTCCAGACCCATCTTCTCCAGTTGGGTTTTCATCAATGACGCCACGGAGGTATAGTCCACGCCTGCAAAGAGAATACACAACATAGTTAAGAAAGTACAGTTAGCCATATACGTATAGTACGGGCGCATGGGCCAGCAGCGATGCAAGTGCAACACTATGCGCCTACCCACCATCAGCATAGTACTCATGAAGAACAGGGACGCGCGCGGCTGTCGAACTCAAATTTACTGGATGAAGGGACAACAGGCGCGCATGCTCTTTCTCCTCCTTGGTTAACTCCTCGTCAACATTAAAGTGGGAGGTGTTGCCAACCCTCCAACGCCGGGTAAATCGGCCGCCACTCTCGTAAAACGAGTCTGCGTGAGGCTTGATGAAGAAATAAGACCTATACCACGCACGCCCCAACTTAGGGCAGTCCTCCAAAAAATGTCCCGGAATATCCAGGCGCCTCTGTATAGATATGCAATTTTTACTGCTGGTCATTGTGAAAAAATGCTTGAAGAGCTTGAACGTGGGAGTGATGTCGTTCTGACGGCATTTCAACTTAAACAAAATATGTATCAGGAAGATGGACGGTGACAGGCGCCCAATAGGACAGGCGCATGTATCCAGAATTCCCTGTAAGATCGAATCCAAGGGAAAGCGCAACCCGAACTTGAAGTACTCTCGGTAAATCCCAATCCAGCGAGGACCCACAACGCCTACCCTGGTGATCCGTGGAGCAGGCGCATAAGACCAGCTCCGGGGTAAGTTGCACGAGGTTATCAGGCGGTGCAACTCTGCTAATTTGACAGTGGCCACATGGTCTGGCCCAGCTCGAGTCACGGGCAGGTTGCTTATGTCCTCAGGCGCCCCACCCTGTGGCCAAGTATCGACCCAATCAACTATCTTGAACGACCCATCTTCAGGGGCGCCTGAGTTGGTGGAGGGTGGCGAATTTTGCACCTCACCTGATTCTGACGATGCGGGCGCGGAATCCGAGGTAGGCGCGGAGCCTAAAAGCCAATCGTCCTCGGTCAATGACACGGACCTAAAGATCGCTAATGGGCGCCTAGCAAAGGAGCGATGCAAAATTGAAGGATTGGAAGTCAGGGGGGCATAGGAAAGATACCTTGATTAGTGGTGGAGGCCGTGGGCGCGGACTCCGAAGGCGCCTCTGATTCTTCAGGCGCGTTGACGACTGGTATGGCCTCAACGTCAGCAGGCGCCTCGACGTTAGCAGGTGCGGAAGAAGAGGAAGTACCCTTCGATAGCTTGGGCGCCTCCTTGGTCGATCGGGGCGCTCTCTGATCCTGGTTTCGCATCGGGTCAGGTGACAGATGCTGCTCCAAGACATCAAGAACGCTCGGCGCCTCCTTGTCGGCGGTGGTCGGCGCTGCGCCGGAGTCTGATTTCGACATATCTCAGTGAGAGAACGAGGGGCGCGCAGATGTGAAAAAGAGGGCGCGTGGGTGCGGCGGAAAAGGAGCAGCTAGAGAGAGGAAGTAGAGAGAGAAGCAGATTTGGGGCAAATGAGGTAGAATGGAGAGGAGAATGAATATTTATAAGAGGAGGAGAGGAGGTGAAGAGTCACCTAGGAAACCGCGCGTTGAACGATCCAATCCTCGCCCTCCGTTCAAAATTTGAATTTTGAAATTCAAAAATTTGAACGCACACCGAGTGGGGGGCAGGAGGTACGGTCACGCGCACGGTCATGCGCCTGGTAGGAGCAAGGCCGTGCGCCTCCTTGATTGATTCAAAACCGGGTGGAAGGATGGGGATCGCGGTTATGCGCCTCCTGGTTTCTTTCTTCCATGCGCCCGAACCTAGGTGCAATGAAAAGGCAGGGGGGCAACGTTGATTGTTTAAAACCGGATAGAAGGATGAGGATCGCGGTTATGCGCCTCCTGTTTTCTTTCTTCCATGCGCCCGAACCGAAGTGCAAACTCGGCTGAAAAGGCAGGGGGGCAACGTGAGGTTATCTTTTGAAAGCGCATTGCTTAGACTAGGGGCGCATAGGCTTATGCAAAGCAAACTCGGACGCCTCATGGTGACACAAAACCTAATGAAAACCAGACGCATAGTTAGGCGCTCACCAGTGAACACCTAACTGGGGGGCAATTGTTGGGGTAGTAGAGAGGAGCCCATTGGGCCTGGTTGAAAGAGAGGAAAGGGGCTCATGGAAGGTAAGAGCCTGTTGGGCCTGAAGCCTATTTCTGGCCCACAAGAGTATGACCTAGGTGATTGTGAAGGAGCAGGGGGCGCATGACGACAAAATAGGCTCGCAGACAAGGGAGTACAGGTGGACAAGGTCAGAAGGGCGCCACGAGGCAAGTGGTCCTCCTATGCGCCCTGACGTGGAAAATGGACGGTGTGCCACGTGTAGGCGCGTAGGCGCCAGGGGAGACCGAGCATTTAATGCTAAACTGACATATGCCTTGGTGGCAGAAGTTGGTCGGAGCTTGGTCGAGGAGCTCGAGTAGTATAAATAGCACTTGGTAGGTAGCATTTAAGCAGGTTGGTCTTTCTCACACTAAACTTCTTTCTTCACTTCTCTCTCTAGAGTCACACCTGACTTGATCGTTGGAGTGCTAACGGACGGGTATAGCCCTCTAGGCGCCCGTCCTGCAGGGTTCAAGCGCTTGGCGTGGGGCAGTGGGAAGTGACACGTGGAAGAGGGAGTATCCGGGCTTCAACAATTACAAAAGCTTTGCCTGCCTGCCTGCTGCTGCTAAATGCTTAATTATGCAGGCCCTCAGATTAGCTTTTGCCTCTCAATAATTCAGAAAAGCTATGCAATTCTTTACTCTTTGATCCTGCTGCTAGGGTGGGAAAATTATTAGAGAAATGAGATGGGTTGCCTTTACCCCATTCAGTCAATCATTCATTCATGCTTGTTTAGAGATAGAGAAAAAGGACTTTGTCCCTCTCCCATGAAGAAAAAGGCTGTCCCTTTGCATGAATATCTCTTCAATCTGAGTGCCCAAAGATATATGAAAAAGGAAGAAGAATATCTCTTCCATTTTGATGGAAAGATGCCAAGCAAAATCTTCTGGGCCCAGCCTTGGACATATGTGGGATGATTCATTCTCCAACTAGAGATTCAAGACTGTGCCTTAATCATGGAGCAATATTATCGAATGAACGATTCCAAAGTAAAACGTTTTGTCGTTAATTCATTTACATAAACCATCAAATGGAAATTCGTTGATTGGATGAAAAATTGTATGCATTAATGTACATACTAATGTACATACTCTTGAAACCACTTGCCTATGATAGGATTGCTAGCATAGAAGTGCGTGACTTTCGTATAATTGGGACGAATTGATACCCATGCGATATTAGAGCATCTGATGACCAAAAGATTATGAATAACTGAGAAAACTTCAAAATTATACGAAAAATTGAGTTAAACCCGTGTATTGTAGCATATGCTGATATCCATATCTTACGACGACAACTGTTACGATTCTCAAAAACTAATGTGAATAGGTAACCACACTTTAAAAGAAAACTCGTAACCAAACTATGGTTTACCCACATATATACCCATACAACACATTATTACATGAAATGAATGGAACAGCAAAACAGAGCATGATTACTCTGTTTTTTCCCCCCATCGCCTTTTTCCTCCCCTGCCCTACTCTGTTTTCCACACTCCTCCATCTCCCCTCTATTTTAACCCACTTTCCCTCCAAACCCTCACTTCTCATTCCTTAACCATCTAAACTTCCCTTCCCTTCTCTCTTCCGCTCACAAATGTCGCAAATCTTCTCACCATCCCCCAAACACTGCGCCATAGCAAACAACAAACGGTACCTCGCAAACCTCCCCAAACACTTACCATTCAACAAGAAGCTCATCTACTTCATCTCATCGCTCTTCACCTCCATCCTCTGCTTCATCTTTATACTCTACTTCACACTCCGCCCTGCCAAGCCCCAATTCGCCCTCCAGCAAGCCGACGTCTACCAGCTCGTCCTCCTCGCCCCGACCAACCTCCTCAATTCCTCCATCCAGCTCACCTTCCTCTCCACCAACCCGAACCAGAGGGTCGGCATCTACTACGACGAGTTCCAGGTCTATGCGGCCTACAGGGGTCAGCAGATCACAGCCGATACTCCGATTCCCGGGTTCTACCAGGGACATCAGGAGACTAATTTGCTGACTGCTTCGCTGGTTGCGACGGGGATGCCTGTGGCGCCGTCCTTTCGGTACGAGGTGGGGCGCGATCAGGTTGCTGGGAGGATGGTTTTGAGGTTGAAGGGGAGGGGGAAGCTGAGGTGGAAAGTTGGGAGCTGGGTTTCTGGTGGGTATAGGTTTAATGTGGATTGTGTTGCGGTGATGCCGTTTGGGGATTCGAATTCGCCGTCGGCGTCAGCGTCTTCAGGTCCTCTGAGCTCCAGGCCGCAGGGGACTCGTTGCTCTACTGATGTTTGAAGTTTCAATTCAAGTGGTTGAGTGCTTGTATGTTAAAAAGCAGTTAAAAAGGTGTTTGACAGTTGAAGTAGTGTGTGATTAGTCTACTCCTCCTCCTCCTCCTCCTATGCTCTGCTTCAAGCTCTGTTTTCCTGTGTTGATCATGGGCATGATTGCTGTAAAGGGAAGATTAAGATATAGTGGTTGTTTAGTGACAAAAAGATTTCTCGGTTTCATTTTTTGTGCATAATATAAGGTGAGAGGGGCGAATGGGTAGCAGAGAGTTGGAGAAGATAAGATGATGGAGGAAGATATAAAGGCGGGAAAGTGAACCTGTTCTGTATTGCTTCTGCTTTTGCTTTGTACTGATATATAGTAATATGAAAGACTGCAAATTTCTGTGTCCTTGGATCTTCAGGATATTGGGATGAATATGCAAAACAGAGAAAGAGAAGGGAATTATTCCATTCCTGGGATTCATCAACCTTTTACTCTGCTTCTGAAAGTTAACTTCTTTATGCATCCAGCCAAGAGCAGTATCTTACATTTCCAAGAATCTTACTGAATGGATCAAAAATCCTATAAAATTTCATCTGATCAACTGCAAACTGTAACCAACACCGTTAAGACTGCGAGGGAAATTGTCCAGAGTAGTGACCCAGCTGCTTTCACAAGTGGTTGAGTTAAAGTTTTGCTTTCCAATTTCCCTTTTTGCTCCATGATTGCTCCTTTTTCCAAGTGCTGCTTTTTGAAAGAGCAACAGGTGTTTCTGTTAGTAGCTTTTCACTATTGCGTGTAGTAACTTCCAGAACACAAAATTGTTGTTATATTATAGCTAATCAAACAGAAACTGGACTTTTCAGCACCTCTCCAGAGGGAGAGGACAGCACTAAGACAAATAATAGCGAGAGTGGAGCTGATGTTAAGGTCTGCTTTGACGGAAAGCAGGCCCTGATGGACGCAAAAGATAGATAGATAGCACACACAATTCAAAAGCTGGCGAGCTTTTTGGAGATATCTCCTACCAGAAGAGTGGAAAAGTAGTTCATGTTAACTCCCCAACCACCTCATGGTAATGGTACATAGTCAATATACACAAAGCTGTCCCCTTTGTGTATATAGAAATTCATTCATGCTAAGCTTCATTCATGCTGCAATTCCTTCCCAAAGAGTCCTTCCAGTTTCAAAACCCTATACTCAAGTGTATATAAAACTACGATTAAGAAGCCTTACGATTCCCAAATGCTGCTATGCTATACAACAGGCAGTCCCTAAACCTACGATCCAGAGGTAATAAGGAGCTGTAACTTTCATCCAGTAAGGAAAATGAGCAAACTTTATCCATATCCTTAGTCCAGCAGGAATCATGCATACTATGCTAGCAGCTAACCAGCATCATCAACCGACATGGATCTGAACTCGTCACAGAATCATATTTTGTCTCTAGTCTATTCCAATTATTGGCACACAACTCGACCCACTATTCATTCTGCAATCAATCAGCATTCAGCAGTGCCAGTGACAATGTCCCTGTTCACCAAGCATCTTAAGACACAATAAGCCACACAGTAATCAAACAAGAGAGACTTGGTTTAAAAAAGGAAGCAGCCGTAACGCACTCAAACATATCCTTAATGCAGAAACGCCATGTATGGTAGCAAACTAACAGCATTACTTGACACAGGTTAGAACTAAACAAGCATTTTGTCTCGGATCCATTACAATTTTTGGCAGTCTCAACTCAACCCACTATTCATGATGCAATGAATCTGCAGCGACAATTCTACCAAACATCTTAAGAAACAATCGGAACACAGGAGCAACAGAATCATATCTCGACAGCCAACAGAACTCAAAAACAAGAGAGCAACTTCATTTCACAAAGGCAGCAGGAGTAATGCACTCTAGAACACAAAGACTATAACTTGTTTGCTATTGCAGATCAAAAACCAAAACTTTATACACCTATCGAGCAAACAGAATTGTATGTAATGTGTGTATATTGATGGGTACGAATGCGATCACGCATCTAATAAAATGCCCTGTCAACAATAGTAAACATGGCGGGACAGAACCATGGAGATGACCATATCTCATCAATCGAGCCAACAAATGGCCCAATCGCACAAAAGATTCACAACTCAACGGTATCAGGACTAACCCATGTCCAGAAATGCTTTCTAACCGTCACAGCTTGATCGGCAACCTTCTTCTCCTCCGATTCCCCATACTCCTCCGCTTCCTCCGTGCAAAAATCTCCGTCCGGCAACCCATCCACGATCGCGTCCACCGAATACAACACATACCTCGCCGGCAAACCAGGGTAGGAAGCCGAATACCTCTCCTCCACCTTCTCCCTGTACGAACCCGGCACAATCCTCACCTCCCCACCGGCAACCGATCCGAGCTCCTCCCTTACCGCCCGCAGGACGGCCGACTCAGGGCTCTCGTCGGGCTTCATCTTCTCCGACAAGGGCCGGTGCCGGCTCCTCACGGTCCCGTCGGAAAGCTCCTGATGCGACTCCACGAGGACCCGGCTGTTCTTCCCGATGACCCGAACTGTAACAACGTTGACCGTGCGAATCGGAGGGGTAGAATCGGCTAAAGAGGTCTCGCCCTGGGAGATCTCGAGCCAGAGGTTGTGGACGTTTTTCGTCCCCGGCTTGACCCCCCAGGAGGCGAACGAATCGGAGGCCAATCGGGGCTTGAGCCAATCGGAGAGGCAATTGGGGGTGGCGAATCGGCGCCGGTTGCTGGAATTGGAGACCGACATGGATGGGAGTTGAAAGAATCGACGGCTGCGGCTTGAGGGGATTTTCGGGAACTGGGGTTTGAGACTGGCAGACGAAGAAGAAGAAGAAGAAGGGGGAGAAGAAGAGAAGAGGAAGAGGATGGAGAGAGCTGTGAGGAAGAAATCGGGGATGTTGATGTTGGGTCTGTGGTGGGAAGTGGTCAAGAGAAGGTGGGTCGATTGAGGATGCGGCGGTGCAGGAGGAAGAGGAGTCGGGGGACGCGACGGCGGCGGCATGGTTTACGGTGGTGGTGGTGGGCAGTGATTTGAATTGGAGGAATGACCCGGCGGTGGTGGTGGTGGTGCTGCTGCCATGGATTCTTGGCAAGAAGAAGAGGCGGAGGTTTTTGTGGTTTGTGGGTTGCGGAGAATTAGAGGCGGGGGATTGACGGGTTTGGGATCCACAATTTTGCAGATAATTTGGATTTGGATTTTTGCTTCCGGTGGTGATGTGGATGTTCTTCGGCGAATGGCAGCCACGCGAAGGGCGAAGGCTAAATACCTAACTTGGCTTTTTCCCGGGAAACAGGTTAACTACTACTTCGTCTGTTGGGCTTGGTCGGGCCGAGTGATGGGCCATAGATGGGCCAGTTTGGCTTGACTACGGGATGGGCTGCTCACCTGGGCTACATGTCAAGTATGGGCCTCGGTTTTTAGCATGTTTGAGCTTCATCCATCTTTGTTTGAGCTTGATTCGACCCAATAGTATATTAAAAAAAAAAGTTTGGATAAGTATTGTGTTGTCTCTTAAGAAAAATTATATTAATTTCGTTATTTGGAATTGGGTGGAATTTGAATGTTATAAGATAATTTTGTGGATTTTGGTTATTCAGAATTGGTTCGCCTTTGATGTTATAAGATAATTTTAAAGCTCTTCGAAGTTGTACGTGTTTTCCGTTAATTCTTTGTTTTTTATTCCTATCTCGAACATTAGCAAGATACTAATAATTGTTCAATTTTCTGTTTATGGTAATCCGTAGGGAGTAAGTAATGATTTTATTCCACTTTTAAAAGTGAGGTAGTTAGAGTGGTATACTTTTTTTTTTTTTGTAGAGTTAGTCCAAGTATGTAGGAGTTGAGATTGAGTGCGCATTTGACGAGATTGGTTGATCATAGAGTTTTTGGTCTGACTTTTATGTGGACAAACAATAGACGAATGACACAATTGTGCATAAGTAAGATTGGACAACGATGATGAACATGAATTCATCCAATTTCAATTTGCTCCGCTATTTTCTTACTTTTAAAGAGGAACCAAGGAATCGAAATAAAAAAGTAATAACTTCAATTTCAAAACAAAATGGGATAGATTTGACTCAATTTGGCCAAAATTTCCAGAACACATGAATCTTCAAATTTGTTAAGGTGATTGGGAAGGTGCCGGAGGCGGGCCACGGGTGCAAACACAAATCCCGAAAAGACAACGGCACCTCGGTCCTTGGCATGGAACCTTGCACGTAGCCGGCGGCTTCTGCGCCTCGACGGCGACGGCGTTGTTAACGCCGGTAACTTCTTCTGCTCCAATCCTCGTAGCACCTACATGCAACAAATCCACAAAAAAAAATTAACAGGCAAATTAAAAATCTTTCTTGAGATGAACAAAAGTGCTTGTGCGTGACAAACCACAAATTGCATAATTTTGTTATTACGATTTGAAATCGCCTATTTGAAACACAAAACATATACCAGCAGAGAAAACTATGAGGACGACGAAAAAAACCAACTTTCTCGAGACGTGCTCCATATCTTAACGATGAGTTCTTTGAATTATTTTGTTGTTGTTGATGAGCTATAGCCCTCTCCAAGGTTGGTTTATATAATAGGAGATCTTGGTGGCTAACTATATATATATGCAATGTATGTATTTGGTGAAAGAATGCTATACAAGAAATTTTCTATAATATTTCAACGAATAATTATATTTCCATGTGCCACATGAAATTTAATCTGCAATTCTAAATCCGTTTCCATCATTGTTATTTTTTTCATAGAACTTAGGCCAGATATGAAATGATAGAAATATTCTTTTGTGCTACTCTTCCATTTGTAATCTTGCCTATTCAGACTTTCCATAAAGAGCAAAACTTAACATTAAGCGGTAAGGGTTTGACGGTGTTGCAGCAGCAATCGACAATTCGACATCCGGTTTTGAGCAATCTCATGAGACTTGCGCATTCGCCATTCTGCTCAATCGGTTACAATCAATACATTTTGATTTTACATCACGAGAAACTAAATCGCGGGCTGCCCATTTAATTGCGTGCAATGCCCTATGTTATCCTCCTCTTAATATAATGGTCTCTTTATGATTTCACGTATCATGTATGTGCGTGAGCCAACAAAAATGCCTTATTCCTTGTGGTTACCTCGTAATTTATCTTGTTTATCCGAATTCTGAAACGATATCTATGACACACAAAAAAAAAAGTCTCTTTATTGAACACAACGTAAATTCATGGTATTATTACGAATATATCTAATCAATAAGCTACACTAAACAACGGAAATTCATCATCAACCTAATTAAGCTACGATTTTCAGACGAGTTCCTCCACGGCGCCGCTTGATCGGAGAGATGACGGAGGATGTCTGCGCTCCAGGCAAAAGCAAGTTCGGAACATACAACTACACGCCGTCACCAGCTCGCATTTAACGTGGTTAAGCCCCGTGCCGACGACATCGACGTCATCGTGATCACCTCCGGCGCTGAGTGGTCGGGAAGATGACGTCAGAGCCGAGCCGCCATGCAGCTTGCAAACGCAAATTCCGAGGACACAACCACATGACTTCACTCTTGAGCACGGATTCTTTAACGAGAACTCCGATGCCCCCAAGTCGGCGCCGTCGTCGTTGTTATCTCCGGTGACTTCTTCTGCTCCATTAATGTTCGTTACACCTGCATGCCCAAAAATCGAAAATTAGTAGAGATGAATTCTTTTTTTTTTTTTGTTATGTTTGAAGAATTCATATTTTTAACAGTGAAAAAAAAATTATTTGAGAGGTGTCTATTCGAAACATAGAATGTACCAGTAGTGAAAATTAAGAGAGCAATAAAGAAAATCAACTTTATCGAGACGTGTTCCATATCTTAATGTTTTTTTTTTTGTTTCCGTATATATCTCGGCGAGTGAAGATATATAGGATCGAAATATTTTTGTAGAGTATACTAAGGCTCAAATATCATAAAAGATTGAATGAAGATTGAGAATTCTCATCATACATGTGTTTTTATACATACACACCTAGCATAAGCGATAACAGAAGTGTGCGATTCATGTGAAAAATATTTCAACTAACAGCTGAACATATGGAAATAAAAAAACCGAACGAATATGACTTATTCTCTATCAAAATATCATGAGATATTTCTAGCCGCCCTCCTTCCCTTAATTGTTTTTTTTTTCATACATGTTAGGCAAGAAATGAAATGCTAACAATATTCTTCTTTGATACTATTAAAATTTAGGGGAATAAAAAAGTTTGATCTAGTCGATAGATTTGATCAACTTGTAGATATCGAATTTAAATTTCGGCAATCATTAGAAAACTCGACAATTATGTACCTTAATCCTCTCAACATATCATACTGACTCTTTAGCTATGTGTAGGACAGCAAAGGAATAAGAAATCATATAGGACAACGAGCATACACATATGAATCATATGACCGTTTGAATTTAATCTAGTTCATCGACTAAAAAATTAATTTAATCTAATTCATACATTTCTAACTCCAATAAATAGTGGATTCACTAATTGGCAGTGGCTTGATCGCCCAATTCATATTACGAGTGGTGCTCTGACGGTTTTGCAGCAATTGACGTTCAGTTTGACCCATGATGCTCGGGCAGGAGCAATCCTACGACTACAATTAGACTTGTGCACTCTGATAAACCCTATAGTACATTTTTTTTTCTTTCACACCACCAGAAGCGAATCGGACTCTGCTCATTTGTTGCGTGCAATGCCCTACATTATCCGGTTCTTAATAACAATCGTTACGATTTCACGTTTCTTGTATGTCTTTTAGTCAGCGAAGATGTCTTAGCCCCTATGATTACCTCCCTATTCTCTGGTTTATTCGAATCGATATATGTGACGGGCAAAAAAATTCTCTTTATTGAACTGAATACTACCGATACCTGGTTCTACATCATTATCTTTATGATTTCACGTTTTTTTGTATCTCTTTTAGTCAGCGAAGATGTCTTAGCCCTTATAGTTACCTCCCTATTATCTGGTTTATCCGAATCGATATATGTGACGGGGAAAAATTCTCTTTATTGAACTGAATACTACTGATACCTAGTTCTACGTCATTATCTTTATGATTTCACGTTTTTTGTATCTCTTTTAGTCAGCGAAGATGTCTTAGCCCTTATGATTACCTCCCTATTCTCTGGTTTATCCGAATCGATATATGTGATAGGAAAAAAAATTATCTTTATTGAACTGAATACTACTGATACCTAGTTCTATGTCATTACATTCTATGTATTATTACGAATCTATATAATCAATAAATTAAACTAAACAACCGAAATCCATCATCACACTAAGCTACGATTTTCAGACGAGTTCCTCCTCGGCGCCGCTTGATCGGAGAGATGACGGAGGATGTCTGCGCTCCAGGCAAAAGCAAGTTCGAAACATACAACTGCACGCCGTCACCAGCTCGCATTTAACGTGGTTAAGCCCCGTGCCGACGACGTCGTCGTCATCGTGATCACCTCCGGCGGCGCTGAGTGGTCGGGAAGATGACGTCAGAGCCGAGCCGCCATGCAGCTTGCAAACGCAAATTCCGAGGACACAACCACATGACTTCACTCTTGAGCACGGGTTCTTTAACGAGAACGCCGAAGTCCCCAAGTCGACGCCGCCGTCGTTGTTATCTCCGGTGACTTCTTCTGCTCCATTAATCTTCGTGACAACTGCATGCAACATGCCCCGAAAATCGAAAATCAGCAAATACGAATTCATATTTCTAACGGCGAAAAAACAATTGTGTCTATTTGGAACATAGAACGTACCGGTGGTGAAAACCAAGAGAGCAATCAAGAAAATCAACTTCATAGATACGTGCTTCATATCTGAAATGTTTTTTGTTTCACAGAAATATTTTTCTGATATTTCTGTAGAGTATACTAAGACTCACATTTGTGTCGTTATATATATATATATATATATATATATATATATATATATATATATATATATATATATATATATATATATATATATATATATATATATCGAGCATAACAGAGGTGTGCGATTCATGTGGAAAGATGCCAACTAATAGCTGAACATATGGAAAAAAAAAAACAAAGTTGATATATATGACCTATTCTCTATCGAAATTATCAGTAGATATTTTTCTGTGTCCTCTTTCCCTTATTTGTTATTTTCCATACAAGTTAACGCAAGAAATGAAATGCTAACAATATTCTTCTTTGCTACTATTCAGACTTTCTATAAGAAGACGAACTTAATTAAACGAATAAAGAGCTTTGTCTAGTCTATAGGTTTGAATAATTTGTAGGACTCAAATTTAAATATCGGCAATCATAAGAAAAATCGATAATTATGTACTTTTATATGAAAATGAGCATACATATGTGAATCACGTGACAATTTAAATTCAATATAATCTAATTCATCCACTATAAATTTTGATTGACCTGATTCATATAATATAAATCCAATAGATTGGTGGATATGGATTCATTGATTGCTATAGAATTATAGATTAGTACCTATATGTTTTTCGCATCCCTTTTTTAGAATGCCATTCATAAACTTTTTAAATTTCCAAAATAGTCCAAAGCTTAGGTATATAACACTTTAGATCCATGAATCCAATTCACATATTCACAAATCCATTTAACCCATTCATGAATATGAGAATTCATGAATCCTATGTATACGACCCGTTTATTATCTGTATTTTCGAAATTGTAATCATGTCAATGATTTTATTATCTTTGAATTAATCAAGGTCACTCTCAAATTGAAACGTACCGTCAATAATTTATTCCATTAGAATCTCCACACTCGTTCCATTTCGAAGGGCGTATATTTTTCATATAGCTTATCACTATAGCAAATACTATGTTTTCCTACAATTTCGAAGGGTATATCTTTCTAAATTCGAATCTTTTGGTATAGATTTGTCGTTCGTGGTAGATTCTCAGTTAAAAAATTCTGACGAGTATATAAAACCGAATATGAAATTGATTGGTCATAGAGTTTTATTTGATACGATATGGAATTTTTTTTTTTCTTTTCTAAAACACATGAATCGTCAAAAACTGTTAATTAATTAAGCATGCATCCCTCTGTGTTTTACCCTGCCAATTAATTCGTCAAAAATTTGTCGCCCACTTGATTTCGAATATTAGTTTTCAGCGGTGAACTACTAAGAAATCAAATCTCTTTATTAAACCGAATGCTACTAGATCAATACATTCTAATGTGTTATTACGAATCTATCTAATCAAGAAACTAATTAAACAACGGAAATTCATCATCAACCTAATTAAGCTACGATTTTGATCAGACGAGTTCCTCCTCGGCGCCGTGCGATTGGAGAGATGACGGAGGATGTCTGCGCTCCAGGCAAAAGCAAGTTCGGAACACACAACTACACGCCGTCACTAGCTCGCATTTAACGTGGTTAAGCCCCGTGCCGACGACGACGTCGTCATCGTGATCACCTCCGGCGGCGCTGAGTGGTCGGGAAGATGACGTCAGAGCCGAGCCGCCATGCAGCTTGCAAACGCAAATTCCGAGGACACAGCTACATGACTTCACTCTAGAGCACGGGTTCTTTAACGAGAAAGCCGATGCCCCCAAGTCGGCGGCGCCGTCGTTGTTATCTCCGGTGAATTCTTCTGCTCCAATGTTCGTTACACCTGCGCAAATATATAGCAGCATGCCCAAAAAAATCGAAAAAAATCAGCAGGGACAAATTCATATTTCTAAATTCTAACGGCGAAAAAAAAAAAATTATTTGCGCGAGATTTGCTTTTGAGGTTAGTCGTGTTTGATTTGGAATTTGGTTGTCGTGTGTATTCGAAACATAGAACGTACCAGCGGTAAAAACCAAGAGTGCAACCAAGAAGATCGACTTCATCGAGATGTGATCCATATCTTGGATGTTTTTGTTTCGATTTATATCTTGGTGAGTGAAGATATATTGGATAGAAATATTTTTATGATGTTTCTGTCGAGTATATACTAAGAGTCGGATTTCAGGAAAGATTACCGAATGAAGATGGAGAATTCTTATTATAGATTAGTGTCTTTATATACACTTAGCATAAGCTGTAACGAAGGTGTGCGATTCATATGGAAAATAAATATATTCCAACTAACAGCTAAGCCTATGGGGAAAAAACAGAGTGAATATGACTTATTCTCTAGTCTCTACCAAAATATCAGAAGATAAAATCTGCCTGTCTTTTCCCTTTATTGTTATTTTTCATACATGCTACGCAAGAAATAAAATGTTAACAATATTCTTCTTTCGCTAGAATTCAAACTTTCTGTAAGGAGATGAAGTTAATATTCAGGTGAATAAAGAGCTTGTATGGTCGATAGGTTTGGTTAACTTGTAGGTCTTAGATTTAAATATCGACAATTATATCATACGACTCCGTAACTGCGTGCAGGAGATTAAAGACGAATAAGAGAAAATAGAAAAATGAGCATTGCATATACGAATCAAGTATGTGACAATTTGAATTCAATTTAATTCATCCTCTAAAAAAAAGTAATTAATCTAATAGATTAGTGGATGCATTGATTGCTATAGAATTACAAAGTAGTACCTATATATTTATATTTTATAGTTTCATACATAATTTTAATATCTAACTCAAGAATGCACTTTTAAAAAAAAATATTTAGGTATTTTTTTTAGAATGACATTCTTGTACATAATTTTTTGTAACTTTCCGGAATAGTCCAGAAGTTAGGTATATAACACTTTGGATCGAGGAATCAAATTCGAATTCACAAATCCAATTCGGGAATTTATTTAACCCAATCCACGAAATCTGAGAATTCACGAATCGCATGCATACAAATTTGAGAATCCACGAACCCCCGCTAATACAATCCATTTATCAACTCTGTTTCCGAAATTGTAATAATGTCAATGATCTTACTGGTTGTTGAATTAATCAACGCCACTCTCAATTGATATGTTCGGTCAATTAATCCATTAGAATCACGATACTCAGTTCCATTTCGAAGGGGCATATATATTTTTCATGCAGATGATCATCACTGTATCAAATGCTTTGTCCTGCTACAATTTCTGTACTCAGTTTGCATCCTAATATATCTAATGGCGAGACCTTAAGAAGTAGATGGCCAGTGCGTAGTGCGATTAGAAAATATGATCGACTATTCAGTGGTATAAGTAACAACATTTTGTCAAGTCAAAATATGGTGTGACTCATTCAGGTGACTCTCAAATATTATCCACCATCCACCCATCCGAATAAGTGTAGATAGAAAATATATATTAATCCGCAATCCAACAACTACGACGATTTGGGTTATTAACGGGTGAGTGGATTGTTGTCAAACCATGTATATTACCTTGCTACTATCTGGTTTACTTTTCATGCCTGCACAGGTTGTGAACTACTAATTAAGTAATCTCTTTATTAAACTGAATATTACTATTCTAAGTATTATTACGAATCTATATAATCAAGAAACTAAACATAACGGAAATTTAATTAATTATCATCAACCTATGCTACAATTTTTCAGACGAGTTGCTGCTCGGCGGCGCGTGATCTCTCCGGTTCCCGAGGCTTTCAGCGCGGCAAGCAAACGCAAGTTCGGAACATACAAGTACACACTTTAATTTGCTCGCATTTAAGATGGTAGAGCCCGGTGCCGACGACGGCGTCGCCGTCGTTGCTGCCTCCGGCGCTGCGTGGCCGGGACGAAGATGACGTCAGAGCTGACGAGGGATGCAGCTTGCAAATGCAAACCCCGAGTTTGCAGTTACATGACTTCATTGTTGAGCACGGAATCGTCCTCTTCCAATGGAACAACGATGCCCCGAGGCGGCCGCCGCCGTCGTTGTTACCTCCGGTGACTTCTTCCGCCGCTCCATTAGCCTTCGTAACACCTGCGTCATGCATGCCCAAAACTCGACGTCAGCAAAGACGGGGAAAAAAAAAGTTACTTCCGCAGGTTTTTATATATTAGGATTTGATCGTCATGGTCGATTCGAAACGTAGAACGTACCAATGGTGAAAATCAAGAGAGCAAGCAAGAAAATTGATTTCGTCGAATTTTTTTCCATATTTTATAAAGGTTTGTGTTTCGTTATGTATTTTGGCGAATGAAGGACGACGCAGAATTCTCATTATGCCATTAGTGTCTTTATTTTTTATACACTTAGCATTAGCTATATATATAATAGAGGTGTGCGATTCCTGTGGAAAAGATTCTAACTAACAAGCTGAACATATGGAACAGAAAAACAGTGTGGATATGACTTATTCTCTATAGAAAGAAATATCTATTTTATTTGATAGAATATTCTATAAAAGCCTTTCTCTAAAAAGACCAACTTAACATTTTTACGAATAAAGAATTCTGTTTAGTCTGTTTAGTCGATATGTTTTAACTTGTAGGATTTTAAATTTGAATTTCGGGAATCTTTAGCAATTATGTACCCTTCAATCCTTTCAACATAACATACAGCTCCATACCTATGTGATGTGCAGGAAAGTAAAGGAATAAGAGAGAGAAAACAAAAAAGGAAAACGATCATACATAAATAAATAATAACATGACAATTTGAATTCAATCTAATTCATCCAAACATTCAATAAAATGCTAAAGACATTGTTTCTAGCTGCTTTTCTTTCGTGTACAATATAAATTTTAGCAGAGAAAATGTCAAACAAATTAGTGTAATGGAAATTAGATGCATATCATCTTGATCGCATAGTACTGGCTGGTACAAATTTTTCTTATATTTGTGCTTGTGTTCTTCTATGAATTGATATGTGTCGACTTATTTGATACTATTTAATTTTTCGCGATTAGTTAAAAAAAATTTCCCGCAATTAATTTGTTAGTTCATAATACGAAACTATATCACAAACCATTCAGACACACAATCCAGAAAGAGAGAGAACTTTCCAGCTGAGAAGCCCAAAACGCCGATACTAGAAGCCCACCAGGCCCGTCTATCTCCGAGGGCCCAAGTAGAAACAGCCCAAAAGAATTGTTCATAGCAAAAGAAAGAGAGAAAAAAGGACTGCTTAGCCACATTTGTTCGGGCGGAGATGATTCGTTGGCTCTTGAAAGTTTGAGAGTGTTTCTGTAGTGACCATGGATGGGCTCATGCCTCAAAAGGATGCGCTTTCCTAGGGTCGAGACTGCTATTGGGCTAAAATCGACGGCGTAAGAAGATCGGCCCAACAAATTGATTCCAGTAAAAGGAAAAAAAGAAGTCAACCACCACTTTTCACCCAAGTCCACTCCTAGAGTCTGAAATTTACAATGACATTGGTGAGGTCAATTTACCTTCACATGCAAATAATAGTTTCTTTAACATATTAAATAAAAATATGTATACGAGACAGTAATCCATGATTTGGGCAATTGCCACGTGTGCTTCCCTCCTCACATATATCATAATTAAAAAACGTTTTTGTTTTTACGTTGCTCGTTCGGGTAGCAGCCAGCTAAGAAGAGAAGGCCATGCACTGTTCCTTTGACGGCAGCTTCAACATAATTTGTGCTCGCCATGCACGTGGGCGGTGGCCGAAATCCCGGCCGATCGAAATTCAGCGAACAAAATCTCAATCAATCGGATCATATTAAACAATCAGATCATGGGAGAGGTTGGAGATCGATGGAGGAGAACCCACGCCGACAAGACAGATCGTCAATCTGAATGTACGTACATTTAGGTTTGTGTTCGAATTCTCTCGAACTTAATAATAATAATACTTGAATTTCTCCCAACAAAACCAGTCGATATTTATAATAATCTCTAATAAACAATTGTACTCCATGAAAAGATTCCAATCTCAACAGATCATCTCAGTCCAACAGGAAAATAAACTTGGTCGTGAAAATTACCCTAATTGTATACTCCAATCAAGGCCAACGAAGCAAAGTAGCAAACACTTATTAGTTATTACTTATTACTGCCATTTCCTGTCGTAGACAAAAGTACTGATAGAGATAACCGATATTAATTAATCAACCATCAAGCAAGTTGTCACAAATTTAATAACGATAATTAAACAAACAATCGAACTCAAATCAATCAATTCTTTTATTTTTTTACTATGCATGCGTACCCTACACGAGTCAATCAATTGCAAATTGTATGATTGCATTAGCATACACATGTAGCCGGTTGAGTTTTTACTTGAACAAAGACAGGAAACGAATTCATCATCAGTGACCATTTAGTCACCAAAAGAATATGGTTTTATTTGTGGAAAACTAAGCCAAGAGAGGGACGGCGCCGTGCACGTCTCTGTTTGTCCCTTCGAAATCCCAGAAAGCTACGTTCTCTGGCACCAAATCGCACGGGAGAGGGATTATGATTTATGCAACACATGGATTTAGAAAAGATCGATAGTAGTGCGAAAACACTATCGTAATTAAGGTTGTCATCGTCAATGGCACATATTTTTTTCCCATAGTTTGCGTTTCTTCCACATTGATGTAGCTAGCTAGCTAGCTAGTGACGGTGTACATGTTTATCTCTTGGTTACGTGTTTTTTTATGGATGTGGATGCTTGGGGTTACAGATAACCACGTCGTGATGGGCTTACGTAGTCAAGTCTACGCATGACTTCTAGCAAACTAGCTACACATGCCTTCACATGGTTTTATTTTATCCTCGACGGACTCGCTATGATCAGTGACGGAACTAGAATGAAACTGGGGCTATAACTCCTCAATTTCGAGAATATATGTAATAAATTTCGAGAATGAAGCTGGTAATTGGCAAAGTTTTAGTCATCTCGTAATTTGTTGCGATGACTAAAAGATATTGATCTCGAATTTCTTAGCTCCATCCAAATTTCTATCTTGGCCACTAATAAAATGGACTTTACAAAGAGAATCCTCTAGCACAATCCTCTTCCATACAAGGTCCTACGTACAAATACATGTTGTTGATCCTCACTATATAAATATCGATTTCGCTACCATGTCTATTCACTTATGATCAGTGGCGGATCCGGAATTTTCGGAGAGGTGTGTCACCGATAAAATAAGATAATAATTAAAAATTAATAGTAATTAAATAAAAATTACTAGAAATTAATTCATAAAGTTCACAATGTCATATTTACAACGAACCACAACGACTTTTCATGTTCTGAAATGTCTGTAAATACATTCATTGCCTATGTTACGAAGCAAATCCTTTTTGATTTACACAACTAAACAATGATTCATAAATTGGTCACTACTCAACCGATTTCGAAGTTCATTCTTGATTATCTTCATAGCTGAATTTTTTCGTAGCTTTCAATTGCAACAGGTAAAGTCAACACAACCTTCCAAAAGCAAGTAAAACTAAAGATAAAAGAAAAGCGAGATGTGGTAGTGGCTCTCGGTAATTAGAAACTAAAACGGGGCAAGGGTGAGTTTTTTTATTTCATTTTTTATTTTCAATAAAAGAAGGGTCTAGTGGTGAAAACGGTGAGTTTCAAAGGATGAGGTTATGTTTATTTTTTTTCATTGTTGGGTTGTGGTAGGGATGGCAACCAAACCTATGGTCGCGGGTACCCAACCGCCTCCGACCCAATCAACGCGACCCAGTCAACACAAGAAATCCTTGCGTTGACTGGGTATGGATAAAACCCCCCAAAAGGTTGATGGGTATGGGGAGGGTATGATTTTTGACTCTTCCGCCCCATACCCATAACCAAACCCGCTCCACCAAGGATATTATGTCATATACATAAAATATACGGAGTGTAGTGTAACTTGTCAATCGAATGAAGGGTAATTAAAAGAAAATATAAAGTGTTAAAATGTAATTGATGGCAACCAAACCGTAATTCCATCCTCTTATGTATTAGTTCCATAATTTTGGGTGGGTAGTATCCATATTTGTAACCATATTCTTTTATTAAAGGTGAGCAGTTGATGGGGCGGTATTACTCATGGGTATCCGAAAACCGCGGGTATGTGGATGAGTTTGGAAGACCTTCCACTGCATGGGTATGAGGAGGCGGGTATGAGTTTGAATATTTGGAAATGGAGATGAGGTTGGTTTAGGCAAACCCGCCCCATTGTCATCCCTAGGTTGTGGTGTGGGGTTACTCTAAAACAAGCATACTTATTTGATTTTACTTATTATTATGTATTACTAATTAAGATAAAATAACTTTATAACAAGAAAATCATTCTTGTATAATAAAGGTGTGTCGCTCACAATTATTTAAGGTGTGTCGGCGAAGTCCCGAATTAAAAAAAAATTTGTACAAAAAATATATAGGTACTTCACAAAATTTCCCGACGATCCGACACACCCTTTGGCCTTTATAACTAGGTCCGCCACTGCCTATGAAACCAAATTGTGGAGAGATCTTGCTACTCAAAAGAATCGTACAAGAAATGATGCATCGGAACAACCCGGTTCAGAGAAAATATGTGGAAGAAAAAGGAGTAACAAACAAACTACCGTAGGCCATGGAATGTGAGAGGGCATGCAGAGCTAATAATTTTGTGTATAGGACCAGAGACGAGAAGACGCGATCGATGTGGAACAGCACAACTAATTGGTCCCGCTTAGCTTGCTGGATATTGCACCACAAATTGCATGGTTTAGCCCTCATCACCAAAACAAACAAACAATCAATCAAAATTGTAAAGAGAGATGTGACTCCCTGCAGACAGTGCGGCTCCATTATATTCCAGAAATCAACTCCCGCGCGCTGGCTATATCGGGAAACCAGAATTATATATGCACCCTTCTCTCAAGTCTCATCCCCTCGCCGTGTCATCTCCACCACAAAAAACCACCCTTCGTTTGTCTCTGAAGAAAATTAATTAAAAGGGTGTTTTTTTTTAAGTATTAATGTGTTAAGATTATGTGGTATATTATTGAGAATGTGTATAGATTTTCAAGAATTATTATGTTGTTTGGACAATATAACGAATGTATGTATGCCCAAATTTAAAAGTATATTTGAAAACTATGTGGACAATACAAAAGCATCATCAGTTAGCAGTGAAATTGTTAATCCATCATTTTTTTTATGCATGTATTCCGATGATAATAAAAGCTTGGTTTGTAGCAGGTCTCTTACGACAAGTTAGCGAAATGATATTAGAGTACTGGTGCAACTGATAGTATATATCTCTAATTTAATACATTGATTATTACATTCATCAATCATCATACAACATAGTAGTTTTAACGATTCAACTAGTAACTCATATGTATGATATTATCCTTAAAACAAGACAACAAGAGGAAACATACAAATTGAGTGGGCACAGGAAAGAGTTTGACCTCAACTGTTACCGTCATTTTACAGCAGCAAATTGAGCTGCTGGGATGTCTTGGTTTTTTGCTGTGCAATCATGCTAAGGACACTCCATGACCGTTTCTTCTCCTCACTTTTTTCTCCCTCTCTCTGCAATTGCCTTTATGGCCTTATAAATAATCACATGCCTGATTCCTTCTCATCTTCTCTCTCTCTCCCTCCACGTTTTCCCCACACACTCACTTTTCCTCCTACCTATCTCTCCACTTTCCTTCCTTCCTTCCTTTCCATATGGACACCAAAGTACTATCCTCAGGTGTCCCCTTCTCCCACCTCCCACAAAGCTACGTCCGGCCCGAATCCGACCGCCCCCGCCTCGCCGACGTCGTCCACGGCCTCGACATTCCGGTCATCGACCTCTCCCTCGCCGACCGGTCGCAGACCGTCGCCCAGATTGGCGACGCCTGCACCAACTTCGGCTTCTTCCAGGTACTCGACGACGACGATGGAAAAAAAAGTACTGTCGTGTGTCTTATTACAGAAACCACATACGATACAATCGACTGACTCCTGTATAAATAACTAAATATGACTCGCGCGCGTCGCTCTGTAAAAAAAAACATAATACTGTTCGTACTATACATTTACTCTCAGATACTCTTTGTTTTGATGATTTTTAGATGGTTGTGAATTTGTCTGTCTGTCATCATCAGGTGATTGGCCACGGGGTTGGGTCGGGTGCGACGGAGGAGATGCTGAGGGTGGCGACGGAGTTCTTCCAGCTGCCGGTGGAGGAGAAGATGAAGCTCTACTCCGACGACCCGGCGAAGACGATGAGGCTGTCGACGAGCTTCAACGTGAGGAAGGAGAAAGTGCATAATTGGAGGGATTACTTGAGGCTCCACTGTCATCCTCTCCCTAAGTACGCACCTGAGTGGCCTTCCAATCCATCTTCTTTCAGGTTTGTCCACTTCTTCTAATACCCTTTTCGATCTCTTAATTCATAATTTCTTTAACTTAGTAAGGCAGCCATAGTTACCATGTTGCCATCATATGGTGTTTAAAAGAATAAAAAAAACCCACCTTGTACTTATCTTGGTGTCCGTAAGTGACGAGCTAGATAGACATGTTAGAATGGTCCTCCACGGTTCGAAAATTCTGAAGCGTCGATCGTTTTAACTTTTATCTTACTGTCATTTCATGTCGTAGAGATTCTAACACGAAGTATATTTCCTGATGTCGAGTGCCTACAGTGAATAGGATATGTTGCTGGAAGAAAACGTCCTATAGTATCCGAACAAAATTCTAAACTTTGTATCGATGACATTCAATCTTAGAGGAACATATCGTTTAGCTCGATGTCGTCAATACTTGAACATGTACATCACTGTTAGAAGGTATTGATATGTTATAATAACCCCGCATGGCGGAGCTAGGTTGAAAGCCACGAGAAGCTATAGGCCCCACAACTTTTTAAATACAAGTAAAATTAATCTTACATGTATTATAACAAATTCAGAAAATAGACTAGTCGATAAACGCTCTCAATCACCTGTTCACCACAATTCAAATTAAAATCAATCTCTCCTCATTCGGATTCTATTCGTTTCGTCGAATCTATAAATAAGTAGTAGTTTGTTAGCTCAACGTGCATTCAATAGCTGCTTCTAGTGAAGTCATATAATAATTTGTGTCGTACTATGTTCTTAATTACATGCCAGCCAAACTTAAATTATTAATTCTCTAAACCAAATTAATAATCGAATTACAAAACAATCACGGCTTTGTGTCAGTCTGTCAGACATTCATGAACGTTGAAGAAGAAGAAGAAAGAGAAGCAGTTGTAGCCGACTGCCGACGACCGGAACAAACGTAGGAAAGTCAAAGATCAACTTCTAGAATCCCCATGCCCGCTTTCTTCACCGATCTTCTTCTTCGTCCTAATCAATAAGGCTGCTTCGAATTTTTTGTAAAATAATAATAATGCTCACTTAATCAATAATTAACAATTACAATGCACTAATCACTAAGTCAACAATTGTTAATCCAGATGGCGGTCGTCTTAATTACGTCTACGAGCTTGGGTGAAGTCGTCGGCAGGTGGTATTGTCGTCGGAGCCGGCAGCGCTGACTCAACACTCAGACGCCCATGTGACCGACTAATTGGTGCCAGCTGTCGGTTGGCGATTCGCTTCTCGGATCCCGTCGGTCGGTCGTGTATCTTAATTACGTACCGTCCATGGATCCCATTTAAGACTTTATTATGAGAATTATATATAGAAAAAATTGGAAACCGTCCACCACCATGCATAGTGTACTGCCAATAATAAATTTCGTAATAATTACGCGTGGGCTTGCGTCACCCGGGTGACATCATCCGGGACGCCATGCGCGAATGAATAGAGAGGGGGAACCGGCAGATATTTATTCCTTCGGGGCCGGCAGATATTTTTATAGATAGTTTGAATTAGTTTTGAGTTAGTGATGTGTCAACAACAAATCTGTTGTTGACATTGTCAAGAAAATCTAAGTTAGTGATGCAAAATATAGTGATAAATCAACTAGTGATGTCAAGACATGTGTATTCGTAAGATGAGGGTATTTGAAATAAGAAAATTGTGTGAATACATGAATTTTGAAAATATGATATTGTGTAATTATAAGTAGAGGGACTCAAATGGTGAGTAAAAGTCACTCACAATCCCCAAAAACAAAAACAAAAAATCATTGTAATGTGGAGAATGTAATTCTTAAGGAAATGTATGAGTTGGGATCGAAATGAAATTTTTTTCTAAAATTACGTAATTTCATATATATTACTGATTTTCATTGCGCATATAATTTGCCACACGCGCTGGCTTAAAATTCATGCGAGGATCCGGGACCATCATCCCTCTCAAGCAACTTTATGAATACGGTGGTGATTTCAATAACTCGAGTTGATGCGAGGGATGTTAAATAACAGATCTTTGATCGCCTACTAACATATCTCCTCGAACGAAAACCACTACTATGAATTTGAAATTTGAACATGTTCAAAGTATCGTGTGGTTAACAAATGAGCTCGAATCATTCGAAGAAGTTCAATATACGTATATTACACAAATACTAATAGAGGAATACTATTTAACTCTGTTATGTTTCGAAAGAAAAATACATTTGACCCTTCCAATCGACATAGAGCCACAAATAAATAAAAACCTCAATCATTTTAGCCCGACAGTCACCCTACAACCTTCGAAAGTGACGGATCATACCTAGGAAGTTTCAAGATGGAAACTGTGCCACACCCCATTTTCCCACTGTCTCCCGTCGTAGCAAAAAATAGGGAAACCGCGCAATCGTCACATGCATATTTATCTTCTTCTTCTTTGTACGATTGTACACCTGCAATTTTTCTGCACTTGTGGTGTGCAGACAATCTATCTAAGATTCCGAACGTCGGCATCCTAGTTTTGGACCGGTACAACACGAGTCCACTTGCATTACAGCCGCTAACGCTTTTTGTAACCAGAAAGAAATAGAAACAAACCGTAAAAAAACAGATACATGTATCTAGCTAGGGCTGGAAGTTTGGTACCGGTATTTGGGATATACCGAATACCGTACCGAATTTATCTATATTTGGTATTACCGAATACACGTATTATTTCTTGGGATTGGGATTGAATTTCAATTGTTACTCGGTATTAGGGATTACGGGATTGGGTATATACCGAAATACCGATCAATACCGATATATAAGCTAGTGTGTATTTTATCCTCTCAACTGGACTCTCTCATTCACTACTACACGAACCTCAACCACCAAGAGTGTCATTTAATTATACATATATCATTCCATCACTAGTAATAGTCGTCTCTCAACTTCCAATTCATCAAATTAACGATTACCAATGATAAGAACTTGAGATGTCTCCTCTCCTATATTCTCCTTAATAATATCCTAATTCAAGACTCTTTGCTTAGTATTTTCCCCCTGAATTAAACAATAAAATCTAATTTATATATTTAATTATTAATTGCAAAGGTAATTAATTTTGTATTCGATAATACCGATTGGGATACCGAAGTACCGATTGGGATACCGAAATATTTAGGGATTGGGATTGGGATACCGAAATTATTTAGGGATTGGCATTGAGATTGACTTTAGGGTGTAATTCGGTATTCGGGATTTCGGTATTTGGCAATGCTGTCAAAGTCGAGCCGGAGTATGACCCGGTAACGTGAACGGCTCGGTTATTAGTGGTCCAGCCGGCATTAGACCGTTTAAAAATCGTTTGAGAACCGGTAGTTCATTTCGTAAGCAAACTAGCTGCCCCTAGCTATCAGCAAATCTCAAAATCTACGCTAATCACGTCAAGATCAGACAAACGACTACAAGATCCACCACTAATCAAATACCCAGTAAACCAATCGCCACCGACAGCCCAATAATACCCACACTGGAGAAATGCCAACATAGAAATCCCCAGAATCAACGGAAAGAGTGAAGAAGAAGAAGAAGGGAGATGAATTACCCCGCTGTCAGATGGCGCGCTGCTTGCGGCGACGGGACGGAAGCGCTGGGGCGATGGTTGACGGCGGCAGGGTGGCGCCGCTCTCCCTCTGTCGTCTGTTCTACTTCTAGGTCGAAGATGAAGAAATAAAATGAAAGTTAGGGTTTTGTTTGGCTGCCCCATTCCACGATTGGCCTTTTTTTTTAGGGTAAACCAATCGGCCGAACCGCGCGACCGGCTTGAGCGGCTCGAGCGGTTAACCGCTTCGGCCGCTCGCCGGCCGCTGTATAAAACCGTGGCGGTTAAATAGCTGATTCGAGCCGGTTTTACGGTCGGGTGGCGGTTTTGGCGGTCCGGCCGGCCGGCTCGGTCCGGCTTTGACAGCACTGGTATTTGGTATTGGGATACCGATACCGTACCGATTTCCACCCCTACATGTATCAGCCGAGGTGAGTTGAGTTTTGAACTAGTTCGGACTAAACTTACTAAAGAAGAGTCGAGTTCGAGTTCGGCTCCTTTGCTAATACGTTTGATCAAGTTTAGGCTCGAGTTCGGCTCATTATCCATGAGCTCACGCGAGCTCGATCTACTCGAGATTGGCTTCAAGCTCAGCTCATTTATCCGAGAAAGCCAGACATGGTTTGATAGCGATGTATGGCGTAATACGAAAAAGGGAAACAAATTGAGTTCCCAGCTCTCAATTCTTTTGAGCAATTAGATTTGTTGTTCCGATTCAGTCGAGATTAGCGGTTTAGACACGATTTTGATACCATAAACTTACCCCGCGTGTGTTAACGACGACTTGCATTCAAGTATAAATAAGAGTTGCTTTGGAGTTAGATGGACAATTTAGGACGTTCATCTCGATAACTTTGTTGTTGATAATAACAAATTTAGGAAAAGATTGGATAACTTTGTGGGAAAGTGACGTCGTGTTGTGATCAGCGAAATGACGCAATTTTTACGAAACCAATATTTTTTTTGCGGTATTTTATTGAAAAACAACAGATAATGGGAGCGTCGCAAGCTGGCATCATATGGGGAAGTGGTGCGTAGCTGTAAGCTGACATCAGTGGGCCTGGAAATGCGTGTTGACGTGATCCAAAGGAGAATCATATCCACAGATCCAAATCCAATTCCCTATGCGCCCATCACTTCACTGCCCCCACCCAACCTTATTAACCCAAGCCCATCCATTGACCCAACTACCACTTTGTTCACCAAGTCAATGCCCATTATAATTTATAACTTTTAAAGCAGTAAAAAAATTATGAGTCTTATTTATAATAATTTCACATTTTCGATGATGTGGTTAGTTTTAAAAATTTAAGTTACTGGTGAATGGTGATGGTCATGTATAAATTTTATGTATAACCTCAACAAAATTTTCACGAGTCCAGGCTAGACTCAAAACTGATAGCTTTATATCGGGTGATTCAGTGCAGTGATAAGGAGTACCTTGATTCGTCTACTAGGTTAGATCGATTTTGATTAAGACCTACCGTCAATTAACAACGTAATATTAAATTGTTTTTTTGTCTCATTAAATGTTCAGTTTATCGGATAGTGAAATCGTATACGTAAAGGAGTTATGTGAGCGTCAAAACTTTAGGCGAGCTTCTTCTATATCCTTGGGCCCAAATTCATCGTGTAGATACACGATCTTGGGCCCAATTTCACCTCGATGACATAGGTATCAATTTGCCTTGTTTTGTGTTTACTTTTTTGCTCTTTGGGCGTTGGAATCATTTTGAGCATTAATGTGATGAAGCGAATTGCCGGAAAATTTTTGCAGGGAAACGGTGAGCAATTACTGCCAAGAGGTCCGGCAGCTAGGGTTCCGGCTGGAAGAGCTGATCTCCGAGAGCCTAGGGCTGGAGAAGGACCACATAAGAAATGTGCTAGGTGATCAAGGCCAGCACATGGCCGTGAACTTCTACCCGCCATGCCCACAGCCAGAGCTCACCTACGGCCTGCCGAGCCACACCGACCCGAACGCCCTGACCATCCTGCTCCAGGACCAGCTCGTCGCCGGCCTCCAGGTCCTCAAGGACGGCAAGTGGATCGCCGTCAACCCCCACCCGGACGCCTTCGTCATCAACATCGGCGACCAGATCCAGGTACGCGCAAGCTCGAAGTTTGTACAGGTCCAACTGCATGTCATCCTCCGGAAGATATATGAAAGACGAGGACTTGATTATAATAAACCCTTTGTAATAGTCACACGGGACTGTAATGCAATTATATCTACTTATATTTTGTGTACCATATAGTTAAAAAGTCCTAAAACAGTACACAAAATATGTAGATACAAACACTACAGTACCGTGTGACTGTTACAACGTTAGCAATCAGGTCCTCGCCCTTCAGATCTTCGGACGACAACATTCATTGAGAGCACCAAAAAAAAAAAAAAAAGAACGAACGTTAAAACTATTTTCCTTTTGTGTATCGTCGTGTGTTTTTTTTTTTCGAATTCGCGCGCAGGCTCTGAGCAACGGGAGGTACATGAGCGTGTGGCACAGGGCGATCACGAACACGAAGACGGCCAGGCTGTCGGTCGCTTCCTTCCTGTGCCCTGAGGATGATGCGCTGATCAGCTCGCCCCAGGAGCTGGCTGGAAGGGATGGATCTTCAGGGGCAATTTACAGGGGATTCACGTATACAGAGTACTACGAGAAGTTCTGGAGCAGGAATCTGGATCAGGAACACTGCTTGGAACTCTTCAAGATGAACACAATTGAATAAGAGTGCAGTCTTGATCAAGAGCCCCATGCTACTACCTTCATTCTTTTCCCCTGCGCTAGTTATTATGTGTATTGTTTTCGATCAAATGTGTCAAGCATATCTGTGATATATAGAACTTTGAATCATCTTCAGGCAATTCGATAAGCTTATTAGGAGCTTCCAACTATTAGAGAGTATAAGCGGTTATGGATATTGTAATGGCATAGTATGAATACTATGAGGAATTATAGTAGTAGTAGTAATAATAGCATACATTGGTGGTCCTTTTTCTTCGGAAATCATATCTTCAGGATTTGTTTGAATTGTTTTTACGAAACGTTGACATGAACAGAAAATGACCCGTTCGAATAGCATCTAAGAACATCACCCAAAATATTTTTTACTATTTGATCGTTGTTCTTGTAATTTAATCGATTGGACCGGACCGTTGCACAGGGTAAGCCTAGAGTTGCCCGTAACTGAAACAAAGATCTCGTGATATGCATCTCAAGTTGGCTGGGCTGCAAATACAAGGGGACCAAAGTTCATGGGCTTGGCTCTTGTAAAGTGGGCCCGTTTGCGGGCCGACTACTAGTTCTGAGGAATAAGTAGAATTTGTAGCTCGTCAATTACAGCCTTTTGGATGTACGTTCGCTCGCTGCTAGTAAATAATATGAAGGGCACAAACAATGTCCACATGACCACATCATGGACGTCGCATATCATAGTACAAATATTGGATGACAAAATCGATAAATCATTTATTTTGTTTATGAAAAAAAGTAAAAAAAGAAAAATCTCATACAAAGCAATCCCAACTCATCACTAGGAAGGAAAATTGCCCGGAGAACACTTTTAGGTAAATAGAAAAGCAACTCGCGAATCGCCACAAGACATGCAATGAAAGAGCACAACAAATGGGAAAGAGCACGACGAGAATAAAAATATGTTTTTTATTATCTCGGACAGAAGCAGAAACACGAATTGGTTGGACAATAGCAAGTCGGATAACAGGAAGGAGGTTGGTCGTCGCATATATACGATTTATAGTTCTTGCACGCCTTTTTGTTGCAAAACATGTTGCACCAATCTTGTACGAAACCCGTACTGTTGTTGTTGTATGCTTGAGGCCGCGTCATCACTGCACTTTCAGTCCCGCCGATGGAGGCGTTGTTAACAGCTGAAGCCATCCGATCAGCATCACCAATAATATTCCCGCCGGCCGTCGACGACTGTGGACTGGCGGCGGTAGTAGTAGTAGTTACCGGCGCTCTCGATGCGCTTGCCGGAAAACCGCCTGCATGCAAAATCAATATAGTACGAATTGAGTGGTCGTGGAGTTGGGAGATCCGTTACGTATACAACTACTCTTGTCATTTTGTCGTCGTTATTTTTGGGAATAAACAATTAATTACTAAAATGGTCAATGTACTCTTGGTGGAAAAACAGTTGTTGGTTAGGGATGGTGCTAATTTAGTGGTCTTTATTATGCTGTTTAAGGTCGGCCATTTTATATGCTTGCAGGGTTAGCTGCAGCGGAAGGGCCAACGCATTTGGATGATCGGTCCGATGGAAACTGGTCTCTGCAGGGTAGGCTATTGAGCATATAATTAATGTGCTTTTTTTTTTTTTTTAATGTATATACAAAGGGAATTTGGAAGAACCGTACGCAGTGGGGAATTGTTGTACATCAAGAAGAAGAGCTAGCTAGCTCTTCTATCAATCATTCATCTCCGATGTGAAATCGAGATTTGTAATTGACCCTACGTGAGGAAAAATAATATTAATCATGCTACTCAAAATGACATTCACTTTGATAATATTTTGAAACAAAAAATGAGATTTTATATTATCGCGGTTTATACCATGGTGATAACGCTTGATAGTATATAAGATTATATATCATGGTGATATGGAAGTGTACGTACCATGGGGCGGTATGAGTATATCATAGTGTAGATAACATAACCCAATTAAAAAAAGCAAAAAAATAAACAGGATTTTATTTTTATATTTTAGATCTGACTCCTCTTAAAATCAAGGGGTCAGATCTAGTTATACATATGTGCATAACACTAGGTTATATATATGCACTTGAACCTTGACCATAAAGCAATTTATATAGGTTAAAAGTTTTGCAGGAAGCCATCATCCACTACTGTGAAGAGGTTCACGAACTAGAGTTTCGATTGAAGAATGAAATCTTAGAATCAAGGATTGGATCAACAAGTGCATTCAGTTTGATTTGGTACGATGTAGTTCTGTCCAAACGTTAGTGTGGTCCATTTTTCTTTAGTATTTATAAAATTCACGGGGACTAAAAATGAGACCACGTCATATTCAATTTGATAGGGTCTGGTCCAAGTGTTTGGTTTGGTCCGACGAGGTCCGGTACAAATCAAACCATTGCACACATTAACATATATGCTTGACCATGATCTGATTGGTCGAACTGAAATAACTAAACTAATTACGGTGAATTATATAAAGAAGATGACAAGATCGATTATTTTATTTAGGATAGAAAAAAACACATACAAAGCTGCAGTCCCAACTCATCATCACTAGGAAGGATATAGCTGCCCAATGAACATCAAAGAAGAGAGAAAACCAACCGGAATCACCATAAAACATGCAAAGAAAACATGGACAACGGTCGACCATTCAGAGATTATTACACAGAGTCGACCGACTTGCCGATCGAAGAAAAGAGAAAAACACGCACTGAATCCTCGGCCTGAGAGAGCACCTCGACGGATCGTCTTCTTCAGTTTGATAAATATATGTGTTTATTCAGGGCACAAGCAATCACATTCATTGATGTCACAAACGCAACCCACGTAGCAGCTTTTATCCTGGCCCCAGCACTTAAACGGGTAGTAAAAATTGCACTGGTGGTCGTTACAAACGTAATTGCAGTCTTCCTGCACCGAACCCGCCTTACTGCTCTCGTTCGACGCTCGATGTATCCTGAATACACCCGTTCCACTTTTAAGCACCGGTTTCTGGTGGTTGCTGCACGATTGATGAGATTGTGTAAAAAAATTAGTTAATCATCAAACTGACGAAATCGTACGATCGAGAAGAACGGTTTATACCATGGTCCATGAAATCGTACCAACAGTTCAACTACGAAATGGTAGGCGGTATTTAACGATACTACGATTGAACTACGGTTAAACCACGATTTTAACATAGAATATCTTATCGCTGCCTTTCCCTGTGTACGGTCTCACGCGGTACAGTTTCATGGACCTTGCTTTATACCATGGGCATGAAAAGTAATACGATTTAATTTGCCTGATGATTGATTGATAAACTCGCGTGAAAGAAAATAAAACATGCATGTATCGTATTTTATTTATCTACCGTGGTAATTAATTAAATAGATTGTACCATCATCGATACGTGTATATGTACCTGCTGCCTGTACCGCCTATAGCTTGAGCATCACCACCATACCCGCCGACGGCCGACTGTGGACTAGTAGTCGCCGGCATTCTCGTTGCCGTTACCGGAAAAATGCCTGCATGCAAATCAATAATAACATACTATTCATGATCCATTATCTGTGCCTTCTGCGTCCAAGAAATAATAGTGGAAGATGGGAAATGATGAATACATGGAAGAGTAGTAGTGATCGTCATCAGCAGCAAGACTACGGCCAACTTAGCGACGGTGCTACTACTGGGGATCGCCATTGCTGTCGTTCGTTACACTTAATTACCAGCTACGTGTACTTTGTTTTCTGATGATTTGTTGGAATTTGGTCGTCGCTAGCTAGGTCTATATATATGCAGGAGACTGAGAGGCGAGAGCTACCTCAGTGGTATATAACAGGCGTGGATTCCCAGTTCCTGGTTAAGCGGGTTTATGCTGTTTAAGGTCGCCCTATGTATGCTTAATTAGCTGTTTTTTTTTTTTTTGTTTGTGTTTGAATTTTTTGCAAGTTGGTTAGGCATTTCTGCTAGGGTTGGCTCCTAAGTATATATGGGCTTCTACTTATAACAAATGGAGTTTGGAAGAAGCAGCTGGGGGGATGTATCAGTCGTTTGGGTTGGTTGGTTGGTTAGGTGTTTCGGCCCACTGGTAGCCCATTATGATGTGGGCCTAAGAGACTAGTTAGTACTTAGTTGGGGTTTCCAGCCCTTATTAGCCATTAATTCATAAACCTCTCTTTAAATAATGAATATGATAAATTGCTAAATGGAATGTTGAGTTGGAAAAATAAATTTACTTTTAAATTTTTTGAATTTCCACGTCATCTACTTAACGGTCAAAGTTTATAGTTGACTGCCACGTAGGACAAATTTAACGGAGTGTAACGGTCGGTGACTAACGGTGAAACGATTTGTAAAGTCAGTGGCAAATATGAAAGAAAAGTAATTCGGGTGACAAACGTGAAAGATTTGTATAATTTGAGTTACCAAACGTGTAATTTAGCCAACTGAAAACCCCGTGCCCATCTCTTCACATCTCCTCATCCCTCCCACTGCACCCACCAATTCGGCCGCCGCTACCAAGAAGGAGGAGAAGGAGGAAGGACGGCGGCGGCAGGGGCGGCTCTTATCTCCTCCGATCTATTATCCCCCAACTCGCTACATTCCTCCCGCCGCACCCACTAATCCCTAGATTCATAATCGATCTAGAGATCTGGCTGCATCTCCAGACCAGATCGAAGAGATCTGGCTTCTTCCCTCCAACAATCGCCGCCGGAGTAGTCTGAAGAAGACATGGGCACCTGGGTTTTGTTCTTGGGTGCGGCAAGGAAAAGAAGAGGAAGGGGGTGACCAACGGAGCAGATGAGCAGCGGAGCGGCAGGGTCGAGCGGAGGAGAGGACGGGCAGAGTGGCTGGGTCGAGGAGGGGAGACGGCGGCGGAACTGGGTAAGTGACCGCCTCGCTCTCTGCTTTGTCTGCTGGCTCGCGCTCGATGTAGGAAGGCGGAGATGGCGATGGGGTAGTCGAAGAGGGGTCGGCGAGCCGGCAAGGGAAAACTTGGTGGTTGGCGGTCGACGTCGGCGGAGAATCGAAGTTCGAAGAGGGAGTTAGTCGTTTGGATTTTGGGAATGGAGGAGGATGAATAAGATAGGGTTGGAGAGACGGAGTCGTTTTTGGTGGGGGGAACGGGGTCGTTTGGTGAAGGGGGGTAGCTGGCCAGTTATTTTCGGTTAGCCGAATAACTGAGTCTCGATTACACGTTTAGCCGAAAATAGCGTAGACACTACCGACACCCGACCGCAGTTATTAACCGTCGGTTTCCAATTAGCTGTTAACCGACCTATT